ATATTCATCTTCTCTTCTCCATCCTCCTGGCAGTATTGGGGTGGGTATGAAGAAGGAAAGCGCTGTCTGCCGCCTGTTGCTCACTTCTGCTTGTGCAGGTCTCGGTTCTGGAGTTCTCCTTTCCTGTACTTTTTTCCCCATCAGGATGCTGGGACACTCTCACAACGTGAGGCACAGCCGGACAGTTGGCACGGAGCTCTTCCATCCTCGCAGTCAATATTCAGTTGAGGTGGACAAGACCGGCTTCATTTTGGGGGTCAATAGTCATTTCTTGGGATAGCCAAAGATAGCGTTTTCAGGCAAATAGGATTCCTTTTCCCCTTCCCAAGGGGATGGCCGTGAGCGCTCGGCAGTGGAGGGGTTTATTCCCAGTAGTTGCTGTTAGCCAAAGGGCATCGCAAACCAGCTGCCGCCCTTCAGGAGAGATGCTGAGGCGTTTGCAGATGCCTGGGCAGGAGATGCTCTGCAGCTCGTGATCCGGCGGTCATCTTTCCCTGCCCGCCACAAGGCTTGTTTTGGTAGATACTTAACCCTGTTTGGAGCAGATCCCACTCCAGTCTCCCATTGCTCTCCTCAGTAAAGAGGGAGTGGAGGTAACATCTGAAGATACATGAAGGATTTGTCTTTGCTTTGGGACCTGACAAGAGTTAATACCCTGATTACAAAACAAGGGCGAGCTGCTGTTTTCCTCTGTGCTAATCGTGGTGATGTTACTTCTCTTTCACAATCTTGCTGTGGAAGAGGGTGGGGAGGGGAAGGGGAACTTCTTCATCAAGGTTTGGACAACGGTGCATCCTGGCTTCTTCTCGTGGATCGGTGCCACTTCAGCTTCCCGCGTGTCCTCCCCGGCCTTTCAGAGGAAGCTGGCTCACTTTCCCAGTAGGTTTGCTTCCTTCTCTTGCAGGGATGCTTGGCACCAGCTCCGCGGTTTAGAAAGGACACATTTGAAATAAAATCTTGATGAAGTTATTCTAGGGAGAAGGAAATGATGCAACGAGGGACTTGTCCATTTGGAGGAAGTTGGATTTCTGCCAAGGGCGTTATCTAACCTACCTTTACTTTTTTTTTCTCTCTTTTTTTTTTTTTTTTTTTTGTAAAGTTTTTCTGTCTTGGTCCGGATTTTTTTTTTTCCTTTTTTTTTTTTTTTTTTTAGTAAAGGTTTTCTGGCCTGTGTCAGAGGGTGTTCAGCTGCTTCAAGGTCACCCTCATCTGCCTGCTTTGCTCCTAACACCTCTGAAATCTTTGACCTAAGGTCAGCTTTGCAAACTGCCAGGTATTCCCTAGCAAAGACTGTAAGCAGGATCGAGGCAATAGGCAGACAAGGAGGGGAGCAGCAGTGACAGCAGCCATGAGGAGTGAAAACAAGAGAAAGAGGTAGCAGCTGAGTAGAAAGGGATGTTCACTTGTGATAGAGCATTGGCTTTCCAGAAGACATGCTTATGTTCTACTGTGTTACCTTCTGCTTGTTGCATGGGTCAGATAGATGTGACCGTGTCTGCATCTGAAGTTGGCACCTTTACCCTTGACATTCAGTCTCGAGCTCTGGTCAGGAGATGGAAACAAACGTTTGCCCCAGATTTCCTCTTTGCAAATGGACTGTCATGGCTGCTCATTTCTGTAGCTGTGTCTCAGCTGCTGGGTAGGGTGGGTGGCCAGCAGCAGCAGCAGCAGCTCTTTCCACCCTCTTTTTGAGTCAGCTCACGAGCACAACGGAGCACAGCCTGCTCCCGCTTTCCTGGTGTCTCATCAAGTCTGATAATGTAAAATGGTACCTTATCAACTCGAGTGACAAAATCGAGTGCAACTTCCTCTTCTCCTGCAGACAGGGCTGCTGCAGAGAGGAGCTGGGCGCTCTGCTCCCTGTGCAGCCTCACCAGATAGGTTTACACAGACTCCTTGTAGGCACAGTGGGCGTGTGGGTGTCGCTGAGGGTAGAGCTTGATGTACAGAATAACTGTCACTACATGAAGAGAAGCTGATGTGACTTGTCGCATCCCAGTCTGCATTTGCAGACCTACAATTTGAGTGAAATGGTCTCTGCTTCTGGACTCGGGTCTGTCTTGGAGAGTACGGAGGCAGCAACCAGGGGCTTGGGGCTGCAACATGACCGTGCTCTGGGATCACCTTGTCAGAGCAGGGGAGGCAATGGGAAATGGTCACTGCTTTCTTTCCTTCTTTTTTTTTTTTTCTTTCTTTTTTTGTGGGATGCAGCCAGGAGAGATCAAGGGAGCAAGCTTGCCAAGGGGGAGTTCAGCTGCTGTGCAATTTCCACCCCGAGAGGTGCTGGCCGAGTGTGGGGGATCTCTGCCCTGGGGGGATCTTGCAGAAGGGAGACCTGATGCATTCCCGGCAATGGGATGCTCGGTGGGCAGCGCTGGCAGCTTGCAGACCTTCCACGACGAGAGTGGGCTCCTCCGCAAGCTGGAGAAACAAAGGAACATTTTCCACTTTCTTCCTCTCTTTCATTAGCCAGGCAGAGACTGATTCAATTAGGTGCAAAACAAAATGCCAGGAAAAGGATGTTTGCTATAGAGCGGTGCTGCTGTTGCAGACCTGCTTGCCTATCTCTTGCAGCCTTTTGTTCTGCTTCTTCCACAGATAAAGTGATTCAGAGATTCTGACATGCTGCTCTGAGAGCAGGAAGTCCCCAGGGTTAGCAGGAGAGAAGTGAGGAGCGGGGTGGTTTGGCAGGAGAGAGGCTTCCCTGAGCTAAATCCTGCGAGCTGGTGACAGTCCTTGGCGCCTGTCGCCTTCAGCTGGCATCTCGAGTGCCGGCTGGGTCTCGGGATCAGGCCTTTTGTAACAAGGTTTTTAAGAAAATGACGAAGCTCTGCAGTAGCTGGAAAAGAGCTACTTTTGTGCATTGCAAACGGACAGGCTGTTGTCCCGGACCAGTCCTGGTGTGGCGGGAGCCAGCTTGTCCCAGGTGAGGTCTTGTGGCTGAGCTGGTCTGCGCCCTGGATCTTCTTCTGAGGACAAAAACGTGTCCCAGCAGGGACGGGCTCTCTGCCACACCACTGTGGATGTCCTGTGCCTCTGGTGACTCCCATAGCTGGCTTGCAGCTCTGGGAGGAAAGGCAAGGAGCAAGAGCCCGGGTGATGCTGGGCTGGTGTCCCCTGTGTGCTCAGGACTCCCCTCAGGTGTAGTGATCCCTTTCGGGTTTGCTTCACGAGCAGCCATCTCCAGGTCCTCCTTTTGACCTTCTCCCTGGCTCCGCAGAAGGGCCACGCTCCCGGCTCAGTGGAGGAGTCAGGCTGGAGCTGCCTCAGCCTCCCGCCCGGGGCACCTACCGCCGAAGGTGTCAGCAGCGCCCTGTGCCCCTTCCCAAGAAACTGGGCTGATGCACGAGCACGCAGACGGCTTTCCCAGCCCGCTGCCCGTGGTGGGTCCCAGGTGAGCCACAGGTAGGGACGTCACACAGAGTTCTCCATCTCCAGAGGCTCTTTCCTTGTGTCACCTTGCTGTGCTGCTGCAGTTTCACCAGTGAGCAGCACTACCTGTTTTTTCTTCTACCCAAGCCTGTTCCAATCCTCCTGTTGAACCAGGCACCCTCAGTGACCTGTGCTGCGATCCTCGGGCTCTGGAGCTCACTGCTAAGTTTCTTCTTGCATTTATCCTGTGGATTTGGCTTAAAAAAATAGAGTAGTAGGCTGGCCATCCATATGGGAGACTAGCGAGCGTGTGCTTAGCAAAGCACTGCTTTCTGGCTGGAAAAGTACAGGCTGTGAAATGGCAAATTTGGCCTCGTAGGGGGTTTGGAGCAGGTTGAGCAATGCTGCTCACTGAAGCAACTCAAAACTGGTATTGTTTTGTAAGGGGAAAGAGCGGGGTTAAAAAAAAACAAAAGAGAGGGGTAAAAAAAAAAAAAAAAAAGAGATAAAATGCAGATCTACCCTTATGAAAAAATCTCACTTCTTCAAATCCATCTGTTCCGGCAGCCCTTTGGCACGTCTGGGCAGCATTGACCTTGTAATTCTAGACAATTTGGAAAAAGAATAGATATTCTGCTGGGTAGGACTAGGCCCTGAAATGGAGATACCCGATACAAATCCCAGTTCAGCCCTGTCCTCCCAAACCTGGGCAAGGCCACTGTCACCCTCCGCTAGCAGGGAGGAGGGACACGGGGGCATCTTCTGTGCAGAGGGGTGCGGGCTGCCCGTGACATCCCTGCTGGGATGGGAAGGGAGACGATCCTGGGAAGATGCCGCTCTCGCGCTGGCATGGTCATACCCAGACATAACATCAAAGCCACCCGGCCCAGTGAGACCAGGATACGTGCTGCCTCTGAGTTTGATTCAACTGCTACTCTAGCAAGGTGACGTATAGACCTTGATGTTGATGGCGGAGTGGGGAACTGAATGCAGGGGTCCCAAATTCCATGCTGAGGCTCTAATCGTGGGGCTCCCCTGGCTTGTACCTTGGATGGGTGGTACCACCTGGTAACACAAGGACTCGTTGGGTGATGACTCTGCCAAGTGCTTGCCCATGGCTGCTCTGCACGTTGGTTTCCTTGTCGGTGTTAGGACCAATTTCCAGAGCTGGAAGAGCCTGCAAGAGGCTGAGCAGACGAGAGGAGCAGCCCAGGCTCCGGCTGAAATCTGTGGGGGGCACCTGGCCTTCCCACCATCTGTTCCCAACTTGCAGTTTGCATGGAGACTGGCTCATGGAAGGTGTTACAGAAATCTCTGTTAGGTGCTCAGAGAGAGCCCCACAACGTGGGGGACGTGCAGCCACCTGGCATGTCACTGGGAAGCACCAGGGAGCCGTTGCTGTATGTCAGTGGGAGAGGTGGGCGTTAGTGTGGCTGTTCAGAGGCTCTTCCCCAGAGAAGCTGCTGTGGATGCTCTGCTGAGCACGGCTGGAGGCTCTCGTGGCAGAGAAGCAGCATGATGAATAGGGGAGGGTCTGCCAACATGCTGGTGCCCAGCCTGGGACCTCTTCCGTAGCCTGTGTGCCCAGTGTTTGCTGTTGGGCTGAAGACCTCAGCACCTAGTCACAGCCCCCGAGCTCTCTCGGGGTTGAAGATCTCAAACAGGAGCTTGGGCTGTCTGGATGCAGCCCTCAAAGCTGAGCCGTTTCCCTCGCCTTCCCTTGCTTCAACTTGTTGTGCAAAGCGGCTGGCAGAGCAGCTGTGGCCTCCTGTGGCCAAGGAGCTACCGCAGGAGGGAGTCCACACGCTGGCTGGCCCCCAGGGGCACGCAGAGAGCTGAGCTGCTGTGTTCCCTTTGTTGTAATGGCGTTAGTCCCAAGCTGGATTGGCCCTGGGAGCCTGGACGTCAGCCTCTCCTTTGGGGAGTGGAGAAGGAATATGGGAATGGCGTGCCTGCTGCTCCTCGCTCTGGATTCTCCTCTGTGGGCTGTGGCAGCAGCCTTGCAAAGCAGAGGAGTGTCAAAGACTAATCCGACTGCACCGTTGTCCAAAGAAGAACCAGATTTATCGCTTCCTCTTCTGATCTTTACTCCAGGCTTTGCACAGCTCAAGGCTGGATTTGTGCTGTAGTCACAGAGCAGGGACGTGCCCTCTTTTCTTCCCTTTCTCATGGATTGTACTGTTCTACTGTCCCTTCCCCAAGCGCTGGCTTTATCTGCCCTTGAATCTAGTGAGTGTTTTTTGCCTGGCCCGGCCCCGCTGAATAACGTGCTGTCCGTCTGTCTGTCTGTCTGACTCTGCAGGACTGGGAGGTTCTAGTCCTGGAGAAGCTAAAGTGGGACCTGGTCTCGGTGATAGCAAACGATTTCTTGGCTCACATCCTCTATCACCTCCCGCTGCCAAAGGACAAGATGGAGCTGGTGAAGAAACACGCACAGACCTTCATCGCCCTGTGTGCCACAGGTGGGTGCTGGGTCCCGCTGGAGTGGGATAGCCTGGGCTTGAGCCAGGCTTGCTGGGTGACCTGGGGCTGATCTCCAACACCTTGGCTCTCTGGGGAGCATTTTGCTGCTCCACGATGTGTTTTCCATCCCTGAGAAAGTGGGGTAATGGTCCTAGGGGGTCTTAGTGGGTGCCTGGAAGATGCTAGGAGAGAGCAAGCTGCCGTGCCACCCCTCTTGCCGCACAGGCTGCGACTGGGAGGGCATCCAGGGTAAAAGTGGGGTTGAATCTGAGCTTTTGTTAGCCTCAAAGTCACTACAGCAACCTCATCTTCAGGACTTCTTCTGGTGAGACAGGCCCAGGGAAATAGCTTAATGAAGCTTGCTGCTCTGATGCTCAGCCTCTTTCCCATTGCTTCATCCCCATCTCTCTCCGCTAAGCTGGAGAGACCTCTCTGCCTGGCCCTCTCTAGTTTTCCCCGGAGATCTCAGTCCCAAGAACTTACCACACACATCCTGGCTAACGACTACTTCTTTTTGTGCCCCTGTCCCGGCTCTAGACTACACTTTTGCCATGTACCCCCCCTCCATGATTGCAACAGGCAGTATTGGAGCAGCGATCCATGGCCTGATGGTCTCCGTGAACGATTTCACCGGTGAGGCGATCACCGAGCTGCTGGCTAGCATCACCGGCACGGAGGTGGTGAGTGTTCACAGGGGAAGAGCAAAGCGGTTTTGCTGCTGGATCTGGTGGAAACCTTCCTCTTTCTGCTGCTCGCTCCTCTCAGAGGGGGAAGAAATTAGGTTGTTCAGAATGATGCTGACCTTGAGGTCTGAGGAGCGCCTAGAGATAAGTGAGCATCCCTAAACGCAGCACCCTTGGTCAGTCCCGTGGCCATGCGTGCGCAGAGCGGGGCAAGCTCAGGAGCCTTTGAAGAGCAGCACAAAGGGGAACGGCTGTTCCCTGCACGGGCAGGTGTTAGCGGGATCAGGTTGACACGGCGGGATGGGGTGGAGGGAGAAGCCGGGCTCAGCATCTGCTAACCTCCACTGGTGTCTGGTTGCAGGTGCCCAGACTGGGGTGGGAAGGGGGTCAGGGGCACAAAGCGTTTCAGGATGCTGGCACAGCGGCTTTGCCAGGGATGTCGGGACAGTGAGGGGTGTCTGTCTGCCCCTCCGCCGCCCTTTGAATGGGGATGGGGACCCTGTCCCGCTCCCCGTTTCCAGGTCTCTCCTGCTGCAGCGAAGCAATCGGGAGCCTTTCTTCTGCCAGGGGCCTCTTTTGATCTTTTCTTCTGCCCGAGCGCTAATGCTGGCAGCCGGGCGCGGGGTTAGTTACAGTCCCCTGACAGCAGTGCCGGGAATTGGAAGAGGTGCCGATGCCGCAGCGGGTGGGAGGCTGCGATGAGGCTTTGTCCAGGCAGGGAGGGGACGGGGCAGGATCTATTTGTGCGGCTTTAATTTATTTTTTTTTGTTTGCCGGAGCCTTTTTAAAGAGAGAATCAGTGCAGCCAGCTGCTCTCAAGCTGCTGCGGTGAATGGGGCAGGGGGTGAAACCTGCTCTGGGTTGGGGCTGGTAGAGGGAACAGGTGGGAAGCAGAGAGGGCACCACCGAGGCAGGGGAGCCGAAACGGACCCAGCACATCTCTGCTACCCTCCAGCCTGCTCCTCTCCCCCCTCCACCTGGAGGGAGCATCCCTTCTGCCCCACAGCCTCTCCGAGTGCGAGGTGCTGCACACACAGCCCCTGCCCAGGCAGGACCACAGCAGCTCCTGGAGCAGCAGGCAGCCCTCCGCAGCTGTGCAGGGCTCCGGGTGAAAGCCCCCAGCCTCAGCCTCCCGCTGAGTCTGTAGTGTTGATGCTTCTCCCTGAACCTGGCCTCGCAGTGTCCCCAGGCTGTGACTCGGTTTCCCCTTTGGCTCTGTACTGGGAAGAGTGAGGCTCAGCCGGGCAGTGCTGGGGTGCGGGGAACCTGTGGGGACGGCGGGGTACGGTGGTGCAGGGCTGTGCCAGCTCCATGGCCGGCCGGACCTGCACTGCTGCGCTGAGGCTGGCTCAT